CTGCAGAAGACCTTGGATGGGAACATCAGCTGGAAAAGTACATGGACCAGATCAAGCTAACACAGGATTTTAGCTTTTCTCCTCCATAAAATGGGGACGATGGAAGGACTTTGACCAGAGGAAAGGTCTGACCAGTTTTTCAATAGAAGGATGTGTAGCCACGGCAGTGGGGGGACTAGTTAAGAGAACATTCACGTAGTTAGGATGACCAGTGGTTGCAAATAGAGTTCAGTGTTGAGATTGCTAGGGAGGTTTGTTTTGCTATTGCTTTGTTTCATTTTACTAGATCCCTGCGCTCTCCTGGGAGGACACCTGGGTTGGGGTATCAGCTAGTTCCCACACAGAGACCTGTTGTCCTTTAAGGAAATCGATCCACCTCCTTCCCAAGGGTCAGCATTGGCAAAGGAAAACTAGAATTTTTATAGCAGAAAGGCATGTATTAAGAATCAATCAAATTTCTGGGTTATTAACTTTAAAAAGACCCTTGAAGCTGTTGGGGTGCAGAGTGAAGCGACCAGGTGCGGCTTGCCTGTGCCGGATGGGATGGAGAGAATGGGATGGAGCATGACCTTGCAGGCCAAAGGGCTGGACCTGAGCTGGACACCAGGAAACAAGCAGACTCGGCTTCAGGAGACAGCCGGCAGGGACCCTACGGGAGCTGACCCGACCCCAAGTCTGCAGAAGTTGGGAGGACCACACTGCTCATTCTCTTTCCAGCCACCACCCGGGACGGGCCTCCCACCCACAGCGCTATCTGGCTGACTTCAACCTGAACTGCCTGTGTGACTGCAGTCACCGCAACTTCACTGGACAAAACCCTCGTGGGCATTGTCCTTCCATCCTATGGAGGAACCATACTCCTCCAACCAGTTCCCCTATTCTCAGACGTTATACCGTGTCCAAATTCCCAGTCATGAAGTTAATACTGCAATGAAGATCTGCACATAAAACTTGTACTGCTATCACTTCTGACTCCAGAATATTTAGTATCCTTCTGAAAGCTGGTCACAGTTACTTTCTCGAGGTCAAGATACCAAGTCTCAAGTACTACTTTCTTCTCAAAGGATGCCACTAGAGATCATTTGATAAAGTTCAATACTTGATTTAAAAAAGAAACCTCTAGCCTGGCCAGTGTGGCTCAGTGGGTTGAGCATCGTCCCAGGGAGGTCCCAGTTCAATTCTGGGTCGGGGTACATGCGTAGGGGGCGTGGAGGCAGCCAATCAATGTCTCTCTCTCACATTGATGTTTCTATCTCTCTCTCCCTCTAAAAAAAAAAAAATCAATAAAAACATATTTATATTTATAAAAAAAAAAAAATTCTTAGCGAGCAGAGAAAAAAAGGCAATTTCCTTAACCTGATAAAAGATATCTACCAGAGTAATCTCAGCGAACATCTTACTTAATGGTTCCCTTAAAAGTCAGGAATGAGATATGAATGACTATTGTCACTGCTTCTATCAACACTGGAGGTCCTAGAGAAAGGAAGGGAGGGAGGGAGGGGGGAGGGAAGGGGGGAAGGGAGGGAGGTAGGGAGGAAGTTAGTTCAACCTTTAAGGATGGCAATTTGTCAATATATATGTCTTACGAAGGCACACAGCGTCTGACCTGCAACCCCATCCCTATGAACATACCCTAAGAAAAGACTTCAGGCTGCACAAAGACATAAGTGTTAGGATGTTCGCTGGCTCCAGTACCATCTACAATCAGAAACAACCTGTGTAACAACAGGTACTCATTATGTGAATTCTGGCACAAACATAGGATGGAACACTAGTCACTGAAAATGATGTTGTATGAGAGCGGTTACCGGAAAGGCAGCTTAAACTCGTATGCTCAATCTGCCTTTCGTAGATAATGGTGTACACACACCCCGACTGGAAAGACCCATGCCAGAACGTGGATGATTCCTTGTGCTCTGTTTTCCCAATTCTCTTAAGACGTGTCACTTTACCAACTAGAAAACATATTTAAGACGCTGTCTTGAGTGATGGGTGAAGGCAGCAGCTGTATACTTGATCACAGCTCCCTATTCCTCTAGGATCCACAGACCAGAAGGCTATGTTGCATTCTTATTATTCTACTTTATTAAAACAAAGGAAAATCTAAAAGTTAATTTTATACGCGCACATACAGTTTTTTTTTTATCCTCACCCGAGGACATTTTTCCATTTTTTGTTCTAATAGAGTGGGAGGGAGAGAGAGAAACATCGATGTGAAAGGGACACATCGAGTGGCTGCCACCCGCACGACCAACCAGGGCCGGGGACAAACTGCAACCGAGGTACGCGCCCTTAGCGGGAACCAAACCTGGGTCTCTCTGGACCGCAGGCCGATGCTCTAATCGCTGAGCCAAACCAGCCAGGGCCATACACACACTCTTAAGAGATCTCTTTGCTTAGTCTTATTCAGGGACCCACTATTCTGCCAAGTTCTCGGCAGGCCATAAACCACTATGCAACCCAGAGATTAGACTGGGGGAGATGGAGCTTATTGGGCTGTTTCCCTGGTTCCCGTGACCAGGGTGGGGATGTCCATGGGAAAGGAAGAGGGAGGGGTTCTCACAGCAGAGTTCCGTGAACGCGCTCAGATAGAAAACAGCACCACAGCTACAACAACGAGGATCTTTATGCACTTATCTTTGTAATCAACACAGTTCTTCAGAACAGCAAGAGAGACAAAAAAGGAATAGAATATTCCGAACAGTTACAGCCCATAGGTCGACACTACAAACTAGGTTTAGTCTGGAGGCGTTTGCAGGGGACTGAGGTACAGAGGCATCGGCAGGAGCGGGCTCCTGGTACAAGTACTGACAGGTATGGACATCTCCAAGGATGAAGAAGCCACTTAGTACTTTTGGTGCTTGTACACAGTGTCCAATACGCAGGGAAGAGGAGTTCACACTGGTCTTTGCCCATGCTGTGCAATTTCTTCATGTTCTAAGGTAGGCAGGGCTCACCCAGGGACCAGCCGTGACAGTGATCCCTGGCACGATGCATGCATGTGATTGGTACAGAGAGTGCTTCCACAGAAAATCTGTTAGTTTTTAACTCCTCACGAGGTCTTTTTTTTTTTTTTACCTCAAAAGACTATTATGCTTTCAGTTATCCATTCATTCAATAAATACTCATCCCACACCGCACCATCTCATCCGCCCTCTCTCAGAGGGCCGGCGCTGGGAAACGGCATGTGCTGCTAACACCAAGGAAGACGGGCAACAGCAAAGGCGAGATGCCCGGAGCTGCCGTCAGGGGGGCCCCCACCCCTTCACCGCCTCCTGGGGGGCCCCCACCCCTTCACCGCCTCCTGGGCCCAGACCCCCAGGGAGCTGTGATCTGACTCAACAAAGGAAAGAATAGTTCTCTGTGCAAAGTCAGACATCCGTCAAGGGGAACAAGACTGTTCTGACTCATCTGGGGCGGGGGCGGAGAAAAGAATATGAGGTGGAATCATTCTTATCTGTAAAGTTTAGCACGTGGAAGAAAATCGTGTCATTTGCTTGACTTTGGGAAATGGAGGGGGCCTCGGTCCCTGGGTGGTTTGCAAAGCAAGCCCAACTCTCCACCTACATCCTCCTCAAGACACAGGCTGGGCTGTTCTTAGGAAGCCATATGCTAAGTTCAGGTGGCACCAAATTAAAGACGGAAACTGCAATATCTTATTAACCATGATTTCCACCTTTGGTTCCTCTGGGGGTAAAAATACCACAAAAGGGATAAAATGGCTTTTTCTCACTGTCTATGTCATTCTTGTGTTTCCTGTTCAAAAAAGCCCACACAACCATATTCTCTACTTTATTATAAAAAGGTACACCTCTCATAGTAGAAGCCCTGTCTAAACCTATAGCTTTGGTTTCAGAATTAGCTCAGACACACACCGGCTGTGTCAGCACGCGGCCTGTGAGCACGGCCACCACCGAGAGAGGATCAGGGTGCCGAGTCCATGCTTCTCTCGATGGTGAGAGAAGGGGACGGAGGAGTAAGCCTTCAGTTTAGCCAAATGACAGCTGCATGTAGCATTTTTAAACACGAACTATCTGTTTGGGTAAAAGGGGTCGAGCTGGTGTTGTGGAACCACCACAGGACAGGAAGGGTCTGGAGAAAGGGTCCTGGAGTCCCGAGGGAGGGCTCTGCGCGGCTTCCCAGTCTTGGCTGGTACAACCTCTGCCGCCAACGTGTCTGTGTACAAAGAGCACTGAGCCCACCTATCGCCCTGGAGGACACGTGGCTAAGTCGCGCTGGCTACTGGCAGTATTTACCTGGAGTACCTGAAGCGCTACTGCACCTCTGTGGCTGACTTCTCGTCTGCATAGTGGCCAACAGGTCTGTCTCTGACCTGCTGGGATCAGGGGAGCAGTGGGCGAGAGAGAGCTGGGGCCTTCTCCAGAGAAAGGCAGTGTTCAAGTAACAAAGTATTCCAAACAAAAGAAGCACAAAATTCAAGTAACAGAGTTGCAGGTGCTATGTTCTGGTTTCTGAGCAGAGGCCTGGCTGCATCTGCCGTGGAGAGCTGGTGGGTCAGTGAGCTGCACAGCAGAGGGCGCAGGACAGGCCCAGCATGCCCCTCCGTGGAGGGCCACAGGGCTCCTTAAGAGGAGAAAATGAACTTTGGGGAGCGTTTCATGGAATTACCAAGCTGTTCCAAGCGGTTGCTGAGTGCATATCCCATTATGTCCCATTTGTGTTCTCCGCATGAGATCTTTAAGTTAGTGACTGACCTCAATTTCAACAGATAAAGGTTTTCTTCATTTTGCAGGTAGAAACAGAAAGTGGGGGGGAGGCTTTCTAGGGTTTTCTCCTACGCTTTAGCATAAGAATAAAAAACAAGCTGAGGCTGGCTGAAAGAAACTACTGAAGGAAAAATCACATATACAAACATTCCCCCAATAGGACATGAAGAGGGAAATCAGGAAGTGTTTTGCAACTAAGAAACTTACTTTATTTTTACAGTTTCTGTTCTGGCAAGCTAGCGGTGCATGCTTGAGTATGAATAACACCAGGACTGGGAGGTTTGGGGACCCTGAAGGCCCTCGGAACAAAATGAAGAAAGGGCTAACAGTCTAGATACATAGTCTTTTCGAAAGAGCTGACAATGAAAACTGGAGAAACTCCACATTCTGAAACCACAATATTTATTTTGCCACAAGGATCCATGGACCAGCTATTGGCAGATAGGAGAACATCCCTGATCTAGCTCCCTTCATAAAACACCCATTTCCCATTCTTACGGCTGCAGCTCATCTCTGCACCAATCTCTTCACGTTCTCTGGACAGCAGAAACCCTTTTGGAGCCATTTAGCTGGAAGCCTCGTTACCACCACGAAAAGGTGAAGCTCGATACAAAATGTCTGGGAATCACCGTTTCTTAGTGCTACTGTTCCCACCGCCGGGTTTGCTGAAGCTCCTGCTCATGTGCGGGAAGTGCACGGCCGGGGTTCTTTCTGTGGGGCCATAGAGCCCCAAATTCCTGGCCGTGGCCGACTTCCGCAGCGGCTTGACGCTGGGAAAGGGGCTGAAGATGGGCGTTTTGGGGTGGCTGCCGTGGGGCGCTGTGCTGGCGGCTCCGTTCTCCCCGGGTGCGTCGGGCTGCTCTGGGAACTGCCACTGGCAGGGCGGGTGCCCCTGGGGCTCGGCGTCAGCAGCGGCCTCCCTTTGGTTCAGTTCCAAGGCTTGTAACTTCGCCTGGACCGCAGACACATCGGCATCTCCGAACACGGGCTCCGGAGACTGGCCTTCGATGGTCCTCCCCGCGCTGCCCCCGGCACTGCCGCCTGCGCGGCCGGGGTACCGCGCCTCCGCCACCCCCAGGCTCTGCGCCCTGCCGCCCTCGCTCTGCTCTTCGATCAGCCCGACGGTGTCCCCGCAGCCCGGCTGGCTCTTGGTCCTTGTCATGTTCTTTTTGTGGACGCGGATGTGGGTTCGCCACGGAGAGTTGAGCTTCGTCCTGAGGTCTTCGTAGGGGACAGGAGACGCTTTGCCTCCGGCGTGACCCGGGACCTGCGCGGCGGCGCTCTTGGCAGCTCTGCTTGGCACCTTCATCCTCTTTCCTAAGAGCAGGTGGTTTATCACTGGGGAGTTGTTGACCTGAGACTGGAGAATGCTGGTCACTGGTCCTTTGTCTGAAAGAAACATGGAAAGGTTGTGTGACATGTACCCTCACATAGCAGGAGTCATTGTCCCCGGACCCTTCCCACTGTGTCCCAGGTGCTGGCAGTCATGTGACTGAAGGCAGCAGAAACTGAATTCAGACGGAGAGCCTGGGGTGCCTGTTCCCCCTCTTCGAAGAGGAGGAGACAAGGGGCTGAGGATGCAAAAAGGAACAGAGACTATGATTCTCATGACAAACTGGAGCCCTAATAATTTTGGGGGGAGATTGTGTCACTGAGAAGCAACCTCAGAGGTCTTCTATCCAGAAAACTTGAAGACTTTTTAAAAACAGTCAAAGACTATGGCCATGCGGAAGATCAGCGGCTGGCCTCCGAGAGGAGAGAGAGGACACACTGCATGTGATGAATGCGAGGCAGCAGGATGAGCAAGTGATGAGAAGCTGGTAAAAATTCAGTGAAATCCCGGCGATCCAATGTCTGGTCCAAGGTATGAAAACCACTGTGTCCTGAATGGACTTTGAAAGCAAGCGGAAAATGAAATCACGCCGCTTTGTTCTGCAGGAGGACTGTTGACAGGAACGCTGTCCTCCCGCAGCCACGACAGGGCCCCTATCCCATGCAGCTTCCACACACGTGGCCCCGGAGACAGCAGCAGCAAGTGGTGGGGCAAAGGTTCGGTCCTCTGGTGAACGGCCTTCCTTCTGACGACCACATCATCTGGCTGAGCTCCCCCACACTTCTCTCCTGCTGTCATCGACTCCGGCCACACCCCAATCTTCCATGAAAACGCTGACCACTGTCTCTCCACCCACGTCCCACCCCTTCCGTTGGTGACCTCACTGTCCGAGTGACCCATCCTCATAGTTCCTCCACCTCCTCAGTTCCATCCTAAACCTTGTCACCCAGATCTACCTGGCATGGGAAACATTCAACTCTGACATTCTTCTCTTTGACTCTTCTAGCTCCCAGGCTCTCATAGCTCCTGTCTCTCTTTGGCCCATTGACACCCCTGCTTTGAGGGCTGCACGGCTGGTCACTCAGACTGGGCCTCACCCACAACCCCACAGCCCAGGCATCCCTCCCCCTCCGTCACAGAAGCCTGGCAAAGCCCAACCCCTGATCCACAATCACATTCTCTTTCCCAAAAGGGAGCTGCTACAGGCTGCGGGGGAACCATCACGCGGCCATGTGGGCTGACAGCCCTCTGAATTCATAACTTCCTATTCTGCTAGGTCCCCAAAGCTGCTGAACAATCTCTGTCTTTCCCTCTCCCTCCCACTCCTTTCTACGGACTAAGCTCCCACCCAGCCCCCAACTGACTCCCCAGAAAACAACTTTTCCTCCAATTTCTCAATGAAAACAGAAGCTATCAGGCCTGAAAGACCTCCACTTCCTGCCCTCCACAGCCGAGGGAGCTGGTACCTCAATCACCTTCCTTGCCAAAGTCTCAGTAGCTGTGGCCTTGGCTTCTAGCTCAAGTTCGATCTCCACCAGTGCTGCTAATCCTGTCCTACACCACCTCTAAAACCTTCCCACTGGATGTGTGCCCCACCGCAGCACTGGCCTCACCTAATAGCTGTGGACATGCGAAACCTCCGCCCACCCACACCGAATGAAGCACACTCTTCCTTTTAACGGGCGCCCAGGTGATTCCTACGCGCAGGAAGTTTGAGAAGCCATGCTCTAGACCTTCGCCTTTGAGCAACAACCTCTCCCTAAAAAGAGCCAAATAAACTGTGATCAAGAATAGAGGCTCACAAACTTTTACTGTAAAGGGCCGGATTATAAATATGTTAACCTCTGTAGTGTAAAATCAGTCTTAGACAATATGTGAGCAATGGTCATGCCTGTTTTCCAATTAAACTTTAATTACAAAAACAGGCAGCACGCAGGGTGTGGCCTGCAGACCATAGTTTGCTGACCCCTGAATGGAGAACGCGGCGCTGGGCTGAGTTGGTACTCCGTGGTGATTGTTCACTATCTCACCCAAAGATGTATCCAGTGCAGTTGAAAGGACTATACAGAGCATCAGAACACAGGGATTCTAGCCCTGGCCTGACACTCACTATAGTAATATAATCCTGGACAATCCTAAACCTTCCTGAATCACCGCTTCTTTGTCTTTTAAAAGGATATAAGAATACCTGTCCTTGCCTTCCTCATAGATTTGCTCTGAGGACAAAATGAGGGCTTGTATGTGCCAATGCTTTGAAAATTGCAATACTATAACTGTTAGTTTCTTTTGTGATTGCTTTCTTTTTTTTTTTTTTTTTTCATCCTCACCCGAGGACATTTTTGCATTTATCTTCAGTTAGAGCAGGAGAGAGAGAGAGGAAAAGACAGGGAAAGAAACATCAATGTGAGAGAGATACATAGACTGGTCACCACCCACATGACCCCAACTGGGCCGGGGACAAACTGCAACCAAGGTACGTGCCCTTAGCAGATACCAAACCTGGGACTCTCTGGTCCGCGGGCCGACGCTCCAACCACTGAGCCAAACCGGCCAGGGCTGTGGTTGCTTTCTTTATGATTCAGGATAAAGAACGAAACTTTAGCCCAGGCAGTGTCACTTAGTGGACTGAGCAACATCTCATGGACTGAGAGGTCCTGGTTCAATTCCTGGTCAGGGCACATGCCCAGGTTGTGGATTTGATCCCCAATAGGGGGCGTGCAGGAGGCAGCCGATCAATGTACCTCTCTCTCATCAATGTTTCTATCTCTCCCTTCCTCTCTCTCTAAATAAAAAGAAAAATTTTAATTAATAAAAAAAAAAAAAAACACCACGAATCTTCAAGAAGTCACCTGCCCTCCGTAAGTGGAAAGTAAATTCAATTTTTGTGCAAGGTAGTCACATGCTCACAATCCTTTAAACACGTCATATTTATATCTTGGTAAATTCTGGACCTGTATCATTTTCATTAGAATTTCACTTAGAACAAGACAAACCAATTCTAAAATCAGCATATATTAAACAACAAAGCAGACTGTTCCCTGGGATTTTTAGAATTAAAAAGAAAAAAGAAGCTTAACAATCCTTGGAAAAGGGCATTTCCAACCGCATTACAATTGTGCGCTTGTCAGCGGAGCGCCTGGACCCTGCGGCCCGTCCGAGGCCCAGGGTGGCCTTTCCTTGTCCTCAGATCACATCTGTTCCAGTACCTCCTAAATGACCAGTGGACAGCTTAATTATACTAGCACACAGATCGCTACATTTTATTTTCAAATGCGTGCAATTTCGGAGGCCAAGACTCCAACATGTCTCCAGTCCAAGGATTGCGCGATGGTCTAGTCATTCGTAAACCTCCCCACAAGCACACACAGCAATGGTGTGTTCAGTACCATCAACTGCCTGGTCCTTGGGACCTACGAGAACCCATGGTCTTTTTCTTCTTCAGAGCCTGATGAAATAAAATTAAAAGTGAGATGCTAAGTATGCCATCACCTCGTGCCAGCTGCGTTTGTGGATGCCGAGCTGCAGTGAGCAGCCATCCCGAGGCCACCCCGGAACATGTGTCCTTCCCTCCACCGGCTAACAACGAGTTGAGTTGATTCAGAGAATCCCATTACCTGCTCTGATATACACCTGATGGACCTGCTGCTGCTGCTTCCTTTTAATCCGAGAGTACTGCCGCTTCAGCGCGTTGATGTCCGTGGTCATGCGTTCCATCATCATGCTGTTGAAAGCGGCGTGGTACTCACTTCGACAGGAATTGATCGCTCCCGGACTCAGCTCCGCAATGTTATTAGATCTCAGACTCTGCTCCTCACTGGGCTCTGTACTCGTGGGGAGAGGGACAAGGAGATTGTGTCAGCGGAGGGGAATGGGATGAGAGGGGACTTGATCCACTATAACCGGGAGTAGTGTCATCACCTCCAGATAACCCTAAACCACACACACACAAATGTGCACTAGAATTTGTCTAGTGCTTGTTTTAATTTGGTTCTGAAGGTACTTCTGCATTTTCTTATTAGCCTAGTTGCGGGTCTGATTTTAGTACCACTTTGTTTATTATATAGACATAAGATCAATTGTCTCCAGATAAAAATCACTGTTATTTTCTAAAATGTCCTTAGAAAAATATAACTCCAGATGCCAAGCCATTGCACAGATTTCCACATAAATGCAGGGAGTTTAAAAGGGGTTGATAGTTGGTAGCGTTCAGTCATTAAAAGTGAGTTTCTCACCCTGGCTGGTGTGGCTCAGTTGGTTGGAGTTCACCCTGCACATCAAAAGGCTGTAGGTTTGATTCCTGAGCAGGGCACATACCTAGGTTGTGGATTCAGTCCCCGGTCGGGGTGTGTACAAGAGACAACCAATTGATGTTTCTCTCACATCTCTGTTTCTCTCTCTCTGTCCCTCCCTCCCTCCCTCCTTCCCTCTCTCTAAAATTAATAAAACATATCCTCAGGTGAAGATTTAAAAAAAAAATAAGTGAGTTAGTGAGTTGTTAAATTAAAAATAGCAACACATTCTATGAAATTATTAAGACTTCGAATCACTCTACCAATAGAAATGAATGGTTCTATTTGTTTAACAACCACTTCCTGACCACACACTATGTGTGTTATGTCTGATGTGGTTTCTGTTCCTGTGACACCTACAGCTAGCAGATTTGTCCCTTGAATAAAACTGGGACTACATCTCAGAGAACCAAGTACGGCAAGAAAGGACGCTCACGGGCTGCACAGGCAAAGGGGGGCAGACCGAGGCTCCCTGGGCCTGGGCACCTGCCAAAAGAAAAGATTAACGGGGATTTTGACCATCCTACTATCCATTGACAGAGTCATTCAGAAAACTAAACGTCTGATAAGTTTGCTTCTTTTTTCACTGTGCAAGGAGAAGACAATGAAAAGGGGACCTGCACATCTGAACTGGAGTAAAACCAAAAAAAAAGACGAATGATGAAACAGGAGAAAGTGATCATGTCATCCCAGAGCACAGACCTTCATAGAAAGAAAAACAAGGCAGGGAATGGTACGTAGTCCCAGACTTCAGAAATGCAGATCCAAAAATGTTCGCGTTAAAATTCACATTGATCCCATGGCTAGAAACCAAAAGCTGAAATCCAGGCAACAAGAGGGAGGTGGCAGGCATTATGCAATCAACAGGGCTCTTGCTGGGTTCACATTTGTAAAAGCCTTTTAAAAAGATCAGAGGAAAGCATATACCAAGGACATACACACACAAGAGTGTGAACCCAAACCATGAAACAGGTTAAAACTCAAAACAGGCTAAGGCTTACGGAAAATACTCAAAACTAGCACTACCAAAAAGATGAAGATGATGCAGAAGACAATGATGAAGAGGAAGAAGAGGAGGGAAATGAAGAAAAAGATAATGATGAAGAAGAAAACTGCTAAGCAAGAAGAACGAAAATGAGAAGATAGTCCCACGACTTTGAGAAGGTGGTAAAGTTAGCAGAGGACAGAGAGAATGCAAAGGATCTGACATCTGTCTTGTTTCTGTCCCCTTTTAGCGAGGAGAAGGGACGTCAGACCAGAAGATGCAGAATAAATATCCTCAAGGAAGAGCTGCCAGTCAAGATGGGAAAGAACGGACTGAGAGAACCACAAACTGCTTCAAAAGAGCTCACTACTGACACTGTTTAGAGCACAGGAAGTCTGTTCTGCACAAGGACAAAACTACATAATAGCATGCCGTTCCGCTCAGAGTACCGCAATTTAAAAGGGGCACTACCACTGCAGGACATTTAGAAGTGAATTCAGAGAATACTACTACAAGTTCTGAAAGTCATATCTTATGAGAAATGCTTAAAGAACTTCTGAACTTGGGCCACAGAGAAAGCTTTCAGGGACATGAATATCCTCAAAGATCTGAAGACCTGTCCAGTCGAAGATGGAGTAGACTCTTTTTTTCCAAAGGGATGAACTACTAATAGAACTGGTAGGTAGAGGTTATCTCTTTGCAACTAGAAACCATGGGCTAAGTGGAGGGAATCTCCATAAGATAATGAGTTTCTTGTCACAAAAATTCAAGTAGAGGCCACCATAATGTTTTAGATTGAGAGGGTATGTCTACAGTGGAAGATAAGTCAGTGTAGAGTGAATTCAATTCAACACAGAGTGCAGTAAGCATTATTATATCCAGGCTCTGCGAAGGAACCGAGCGTACCAACTTGAATCAGATGAATATGGGGCAAAGGCACCATTAAAAAAAAAAAAAGAAGAAATATATATTATGCATGCAACACATAACACAGAGGTCCTACTAAATGACAAAGTAACAGAGAAAATACTTTTTATAAAGACCTTCAATAGGGGTAACCAGTTCAGGAAACAGTAGGCATTTATAGGACACAATGATAATACTCCTGCTATAGTGAACCAACACGCTGCGATCACTGAAACAGACAGGCGCCTTTACCTTTAATGTGCTTTTGGTACTTCTGCAGTTCGGGTGCCAGGAGCCCACTGAAAGGCCCGAGACACCCCACAGCATTAGCAACAGCATCTTCATCATCTGGGTCATTCTCTTCATCGCTGTCTCTGATCTTACCATGTCGACTTGGAAAGCATAAAAGAAAAAGAAATATTCAAAGAAAATAGTGGCATTTAAAAAAAAAAAGTAACACAGTCATGTGGTTTAAATGACATATATAATTTACATATATAAAAAGTCTCTCTCTCATCCCTTTCCATCTTCTGCCCAGCTGTTCCACCTAATTCCCATAGGTGGCCACTGCTGCTAGCTTCTTACTTATTCTTTAGTTTCTCTATGCATGGATAAGCAAATATGACTACACAGTCTCATTTTTCTCCTCTTTTTACATAAATATCAGCATATTATATACATCCTCTTCTGCACCTTGCTTTTACTCACCTAAGAAATCTCTCCACATTCGTACAAAGAGCTCCCTCGTCCATGTTTCACAGCTGCACTGGAGTATATGTGTGTGGGCGTGTTAAGGGACCAGACACTAGCAGTGCACACTTGAGTGGTTTCAATACCGCTATAAACAATGCTGCAATAAATGACCTTAGGCATCCTGTGTTTTGCATGTGTACAAATATATTTGTGGGATAATTCCTAAAGGTCGAAGTTGGGTCAAGCATAACGATTTTTGACAAATACTGCCAAGCTGCCTGCCCCAAGTCCTGCAGTAACTGACCTCTCGTCTGCAATGTGCCTGTGTTCCTATCAGGAGCATGCACATCAGCCTTGTGAATTCTTGTTAATCTGACAGGTGAAAAACAACAGAATCCCAATCTGGTCATGGGCTACATTTCTCTTGGTACAAGTGCTGCTGCTGCCTTTGATGTAAACTATCTAGTCCCAATCTTTCATTTGTCAGCTGGGTGGTCATTTTGTATTAATTTCTAGGAACTATATGAGAGATATCAATTACAAATATTTTTCCATGAATATTTTTGGTTCTGCTTATGGAGGTTCTATTTTGACTTTAGTCATACAGAAAATTATTTTTAAAAGTACTTAATTTTTTCCTTTATTTATTTTTTTAAATTTTGAGTCAGTTACTAAGGCCTTCCCAATTCCAAAGAACCAAAGACATGTGTCCACATTGTCTTCCGCAAATCTTATTATTTCCTTTTTCCCAGTTTAACCCTCTGAGCTGTATGAAATGTATCCTGTTGTATGATGTGAAGAAAGGCCCTAAATTTACTTCTTTCCAGGTTAGGTCTCATTGGTCCAGCACCATTTACTAAATAACGTATCTTTTCACTATTGATTTGATATGCCAAGTTTCCATATACTATATTCCTGTGTATTTGTCCATTTATGGTCTTTATAGTATTTTAAATCAGCTCATCTGTCTCATCATGTACCAGTTCTATACCATTTTAATTATGGAGACTTTAAATATTTGACCTTTTTAAGTAAGTTATGGGGTTGCTAAATGTCCTTTCAGTTCACATTCTAATCTTCCTTGGAAAGTACCCTTTTAAAAATCCCTCTCTTGAATTTAAATCAAAACCTTAAAAACATTCAGATTTTAAGGACCAAACTACTTTGAATATATTTCTAAGGCTTAACAACTATTTAGTAACAATAACAAATTAAGGTATTGAGTCTTCTACCGAGAAAACAAGAAGGAAAAGAAAGCCCTTACCCAGACATGGCGGCGGGCTTCACTGCAGCTGGGAAGGGCGTGATGTTGTACGTGTACTTTTCCCTGAGCTCTGCCAGTTGTGGGAAAGGGAAGGGAGCCATCGAGTACACAGTCTGGAACACACAAGCGAGAGCACCAAGCCTGAAACGCAAGCCTTACATAACTCTATCAGTCCTAGGAAGACATTAGAGTTTGAATGTGAAAAGGAAAATACTGCTTCTTACAGAGAGTGGAAAGATCCTATGTCCATATCCGCTTTAGAGAAAGACAAAAGATAAACACAACAGAGAGTTAGTTCTCAAATCTACCCGCTGGGCATTCCAACTGGTGAGCAAGGGCAGGCCAACCGGGCAGTCTGACTGCCTTCTGCTAGGTTCAGGTTGGGTGAATTCAGAAAGCCACAGTTCTCTTACCTTTTTTTTTTTTTAATTATCACCCAAGGGTATGTTTACTGATTTGAGAGAGGAAGGAGGGGAGAGGGAGAGGGAGAGAAAGAAAGAGATGGAAGGAAAGAGGGGGGTGGAGACAGAACCATTGATGTGAGAGAAACATCATCAGTTGCCTCCAGAACTTGCCCCGACTGGAGATTGAACCCGAAACCTTTTGGTGCATGGGATGAGGCTCCAACTAACTGAACCCTTTTTTAATAAAGAACCCACTGAGGACCTGGAGAACATTATGCTAAATGAAACAAGCCAGTCAGAGAAAGACAAGTACCATATGATCTCACTCACATGTGGAATCTAAGGAACAAACTGAACTAACAAGCAAAACAGAGACAGACTCATAGACAGAGAGCAGGCAGACACGCTGGCTGGGGGAGTGGGGGGCGGGATTGAGATAAAAAAGAGAGAAAGAACTCCTGGACTCGGACCACAGCGTGATTGCAGGGGTGGGGAAGGTGGAAGAAGGCAGAGGGGATAAATGGTGATGGAAAAAACAAAATAATAAAAAGAAAAGAACCCATCAATGTTCTTCATATGTAGGCTTATTTTTCAAAGCTTTGTTTGATGATTTTTATAGACATGTAATGTCAGCCTGCTGGATAAAATTAAGTCCAGGGGACGATCTTGTGATCGACTGCATGCTTTCTCCAAAGACACCACCTTTGCCAATATCTGTGAATGAGTCTAGGTGGAAATCCTTAGTTATCTCTTTTTAAAGTGGTGGTGTAAAGCACAGACTGTTCAAAATCTATAAATAAAGATGAGAAAAACACCTGTACTTCCTCTAGCATTTCAAAATTATATGTTGTTCTATCAGCAGGAGGAAAGTAATCTTATTTGGTCTCTTAATTTTATTAAAATGTAATTGCTCCAAAACTTTAATTACGTTACTTATTCAATTCTTAAGATTCTTATTCACCCAAAAATGTACATTAATTACACTAACTTTCATTTCTCCCAGGAAGCTTTTCAAATATCCTGATGTGTTCTAGAGAAATACTTTAAAGTGGCATTTTTCATTTCACGCTGATCTGCGGGCAGACGCTCTAACCACTGAGCAACACCGGCCAGGGCGGGTTTTACATTTCAGCAGCAGTTTTTCTGAAGGCTCAGCGGAGACACCTACTGTTTGCACAGTGGAAAAGGAGGGCTCTGAAACTGGCCTGGTTGTGCTGCTGTGTTCCTTTATAGCCCCAAGCCACCAGTCAGTCCAGTGCAATTTGATTCCAAACAGCCTGTACCTCTCTGACTGTCCTCAGACATAAAGGATCCACTTATATCTTACGATACCATCCCAAGACTCTAAACAAGTAAGTGTTGGCTAAAATTCCTTTCCCTTGATTCTGCATTCCTACTATGCAAAGCTACACAGTTTATAGGGCCCCCAAAAGTCACCTCTAAGCCGTTTTATACATTACTTTTTTTTTTTTTTATTCTCACCCAAGGATACTTTTCCATTGATTTTAGATAGAGCGGAAGGAAGGAAGGGAGGGAGACAGAGGGAGAGAAACATGGACGTGAGAGAGACTCATCGATTGGCTGCCTCCTGCACAACCCCGACCAGGGCGGGGGACTGAACCCGGAACCCAGGGACATCCTTGACCGGGAATCAAGCACCCTTCAGTCCACGGGCCAATGCTAACCGCTGAGCCAAGCCGGCCTGAGCTACACTGCGTATTTGATTTTGCCCAAAAGGCTGTACAAATTTACTAACAGTGAATGGTTCCTCCAGGGAAGGCAGCAGAAAGTATTCTGTGGTTCCCACGAGTCTGAGATTGGCCGTTCTGGGCCTCGTTTCCCTCACCTGAAAAATTAAGGGTGTGAAACTGGATTACCTTGAAAAGGAGAGGGGAGGGGAAATGGTGGTGAGATCAGAGAGAAGCATATGAGGGTGTTCAACTGTGTTGTTAATGTTTTATTTCTGAAGTTGGGTAGTTGGGAAGTTGAGAGAGAGAGAGAGGAAGAGAGAGAGAGAGGGAGGGAAAGGGGCGGAAGGAGAGAGGGGGGTGGAAACAGAACCATCGATGTGAGAGAAACATCATCAGTTGCCTCCAGAACTTGCCCCGACTGGAGATTGAACCCGAAGCCTTTTGGTGCATGAGATGAGGCTCCAACTAATTGAACCCTTTTCAAATAAAGAACCCACTGAGGACCTGGAGAACATTATGCTAAATGAAATAAGCCAGTCATAGTGGGTATGTGAGTTTTGTTATATTATTTTTAATACATGTCTGTATGACTGAAAAACTTCACATAATTTCATTCATAACACAGTCAGAGTGAACTCTCACAGTCTTTGACCCCACAAAGGTTGCCAACAGCTCATCACCCACGAAGCTGCCTTATTGCCAATGCAGAATTCTCTCCTCCTTGTCCCTATGACCAGTCTTAGCTCCATATACCCTTTGAGGGAAAAGGAGAGATGTGAAATCCTCTCCTCAGCACCCCAACTTTAGGTCCAGAGCATGGCACCCCCACTTGGGCCTCAGCCGAGCAGCATCAGCCTCTGACCGCCACACACCAATGTCCCACCGCGGGGCCAGGAGTCAGCCTGCCCCTCACTCACGGGACCTTTCTTCCTTAAGAATTTAGAAACTTGGTTCAGACCTCTGAGAAACCCACGCCATCTGGAGTCAAGCTTACAAGATGAAATCATTAATGCTAGAAATTTCAAAATTCCTTCCAAATGAAGATGTCTCACTGAAGACAATTAGTGAAGGTTCACTGTGTTTTATTTTTGCCAGTTTTACTAAAAGATATCAGAATTCCCTGTCCAGCCTCATGAAGGAAGTTTGTAAAAAAAGGAGTAAACATACATTCTGCCCCTACTCCGTCCCACCCTGCCTCAGGGTAGATGGCCTGGGTTCCTACTAAGTGCCTTCAAAGACCGCTCCGCAAAATGCATCTGACCAAAAGAACAGAAACCGGCTCTGCTGAGCTTGCATGTTCTATGTTTGGCTTTCCTTTCTCTGTCCTCTACTTTCTGTTAGCCCTTCAAAGATGAAATCAGCGTGCCTGGTCCAGCCAGTGTGGCTCAGTGGTTGAATGTCAACCGGTTCGATTCCCAGTCAGGACACATGCCCAGTTTGGGGGCCTGATCCCCAGTGGGGCATGCCGGAGGAGGCCAGTCGATGTTCTCTCTCATCGATGTTTCTGTCTCTCTCTCCCTCTCCATTCCTCTCTCTCTAAAATCAATAAAGGGGAAAAAAAAATTTTTTTTTAAAGAAATCAGCATGCCTGCAAAAGTTTCAAGTCCTTCTTCCCTCATATTCCCTCACTGGAAGGTCTCAGGCGTCTGAAGGCAGGTTGACCCCATGAACATAAGCTCCCTGGCACAATACACAGTGCTCAGAGTAGCTCTGGGTTGCCAACTCTGTAAGTCAGGGATTTACAACCAATTCCAACAAAGAAGTTGTACTCATCATCTTGGAGCCCACATATGCTGCACTAACAGAACGTCCGGGTGAGGAAAGAATGTAGACATCATTTAGTCCCACCCTCCTCCCACGCAGGAGTTCCCTCCCGCAGATGGTCCAACGGCGCGCTCACACACTTCCAGCACGCACTGGTTTGCAGGCAGACGGTTTCGATCTTTGACAGCGCTAATTAATCAAACAGTATCTTTCTATTGAACAAGCATCCACATCCTTGTCATTTCCACACCATCACTGATGGAAAATAGTCACCAGTCCAAAGCCATATCCCGTCTTGTGCTGCATGAGAGCTGCCCCAGGAAACAGTCGATTACTGATAAGCACTTTGGCTTCGGTTTTTCCAGGCACCTACAAACCCTCCTAATAATTACATCTAACTCACTTTTCTTTATATTGCCCTCGAAGACTTCAGGAGGCTTTGTCGGGAGTCATACTGAAATCAGGTACGCTATGTCACTGGCCTTCCCCCAATCTCCTGTTCTAACACTATCAAATTGTTCAAATAGCCATCACTAAAAAAATAGGAGTGATGTGATTTACAGAGGGGAGAATCAGATTATGGGGTGTCTGGCACTGAGAACTGAAAGAGGTGGGGAAGACCAACCCAGGAGACCCTTCCACTCCTCGCTTTCCGCCCGGACCCATCGCAGGCCTGCGGACAGACAGAGGTGCACCTGGCTGGATCACAGCCAAGGAGTTAATGATTTTAAAGAGTGAGCACAGAAACGGAGTGGCTTGAAATGACATCCAGCATTTCTCTCCTTAAAAATCCATGATGCCAGGGAAAACCAACAAGTCTATTTACTATCCAAACTACCCACACACATTTACATAAACTTTTATATTTAGGCACCACTGAAAAGAAATTCTATTTCTTTTCCATTATTGACATGCCTTTATAAGAAACATGAAAACATAAGTTGTATAAAATTAGGCTGTTTATCATCACCCAGATGTTTTCTTTGGCAGAAAAAAAATGTTACTAAAAGGGAATCTAATAAGCCACAGCCTACATGTTTCCCCCAGGAGTCTCTTAAAGCAGGGTAATGAGGTGGTTCTCTTCTCGCCTAACACCTAAGGTTGGAAATTCCTAGAGGACAAAGACGACAGGTGTATCTCAACAAATCTCATTTATTCATTCATTCTGGCAGTGTTTGAACTTTAAGTGAAATAAAGTGTTGCCTTATTCTTCTAAGGAGGATTTCGGCTTTAGAAAGACATCTCTTGAATAATGCGTAAGCAACATGTAGGATAGTGGGAAGTATCACCGGTCAGGAGTCAGGGTCTCGGGTCCCAGTCCGAGGTCTGCCACTACACAACCTAAGAACTGGCAAGATGCTGGCCCTCCTCTCTGTAAAATGGCAGAATCAGTTAGTTGATCTTAATGCTTCTCTTAAGCCAGAGTTTCTCTTAAGTATTTCTTAAAAGCTATCTGCATCAGAACCACCCATGAAGCAAATGCCTGATTCTCAATGCACTCCTGAGATGTTTCTTTTTTTTTCTTTATTGGTTTTAAAGAGAGAGGAAGGAAGAGGGTGAGAGAGATAGAAACATCGATAAGAGAGAACATCAATGGCTGCCTCCTGCATGCCCCCCACTGGGGATTTGGCCCACAGCCTGGGCATGTGCCCTGACCGGGAATCGAACTGGCGACCTCTTGGTGCATGGGTCGACGCTCAACCACTGAGCCACGCTGGCCAGGCCTGAGATGTTTCTTATACTCAGTAAAATTTGAAAACCACTGCCTCAAGTTCTAATGTTCTCTGATTCTGTATATTCATGGAGCAACCAGGCGTATTCTTAGAACTACACTAGATGTTATGGAGATACAGAGTAATATGAAGCCCCATCATTAAGGAACTTGATACTTCATTAGAGAAATAAGATTAACACAACTGAAATATACCAAACAATATGAAGTAATCTCTAATAGCAATAAATCAATTGTTGGCGATCTTAAATACTGAAGGAGTGTGGAGAACCTTCATTAATTAGGGCTGAGGTAACAGAGGCTGTGTGGGAGGGGAGGAGAGACTGAGCAGGACCCAGGCGGGTGGGCAGGACTCTCTCAGGCGGCGTCAGAGGGAGCACAGCGCGCACAGGAACGGGCACGGCCTGCCGGGCTGGGGGAAGAGCGCTGACCGGTGTAACGGGCGCGGCTGTGCAGCAGTGGGGACCACCTCTGGACAGGTGAGTAACGGGGCAGCCAAAGTGCACCTCCAGTGCAGCCCATCTGAAAGCTGACTCATCTTCCTCCCCTGATAAACTCACCCTCCTCTTCCTCAGCCAGAAATGAGTGGGCTGCCCGCCCTTGTCCCTCCAATTTCTTCCTCCATCACATCATATCCATTTTCTGTGGCCAAATCCTATCAACCTTCCCTTCTAAGTACTGTCTCTATCCCGTCTTTTCTACCCTTCCCTGCTCCTCACAGGCCTCCTGCTATCAAACTGGATCCCGTCAGGTCCCCTTCACAGAGCTGCCCGTGTAGTCTACGTAAGAAACAACTCGGACCGTTCCCCTCCTCTCCTTCAAACCTCTCAGGTCCACAGCTCTTCTTTTTCCCTTTCCAAAGGCTCCAGAGAAGCCCTCGAACGCCAGCAAGCACACTTCACAACCACCGACCTAAAAGATAAGGCCACGCTCCTCACCACGGGCTGTGGTTTCCTATACCCCACCCCCGAATGCCAGCTCCGTGCAGTCCCCTTCACACACCACGCAGGTTTCCACTGCCACACTTCCGCTCCCCCGCCCCTCCGCCGGGAACCGCCTCTGCTCCACACCGCTGCCTCCGACACACACACGCACACACCTGCATGTGTGTGCACCCCTGTGCATGCGCACATGCACACCCGCGCATGCAAACGCACACACAGAGCCTGACCGACTGCTATTGGTCTTCAAAAAGGAAGTCAGACATTAATTCCCTCAAAGAAGACTTTTTTTTTAACGTATGTTTTAATTGATTTTTAGAGAGAGAGGAAGGTAGAGATAGAAACATCAATGTGAGAGAGAAGCATCGATTGGCTGCCTCCTGCACGCCCCCTACTGTGGATCAAGCCTGCAACCCAGGCATGTGCCCTGACTGGGAATCGAACCAGGACCTCTCAGTCCATGGGATGATGTTTGATCCACTGAGACACACGGGCTTGGCTCAAGGAAGACTTTTGACATATAGAGATGTTCAATAAATATTTACAGAAGTTAATACAGAACCTTGGAAACAAGGCTGAAACATTTTATTTACTACAGTTAACAACAAGGAACCACTGAAGTTTTGTGATTAACAATGAAGCAGCCAAAGCAGCAAGTGCATACTATTAATTACTCTGGCAGCAAAATGCTCACTGCATCAGAGCACAGGGCATCTGGAAGGAGGGACATCATCTAGGAACGCTGCTCATTTCAGCAAACATTGACTGAAAAAGAGACAGCGGAAAATTGAGCACAGACTTGCAGGAGATGTTTGCTTAAAGAATTAATAAATGTGTTGTGCACCTCTAGGAAAAGGCAAAGTGCTATGTATTATGAGCAGAGCACAGTCCCTGTCCGCAAGGAACTTAAAATCCCACTGAGGAAAAAAGTTATAATCTCAACTCAAGGTACGGGTGAGTGCTCACAAGAGAGGCACAAAGAAAATGCTGTGGCGATTCAAAGAAATGGGACTTGATGTCAGTTGACACCATCAGAGAGTGCTTCAAAGGAGATGGCATCTGGACTTTCAAAAGGAGGTGGGCCTTGAACATGTGAAGGCAGAAGAGAAAGAGAGAGCAGAGAGAGCAAAGGTCCAGAGGAGGCATATCCGCAGGCCTCTCTGGGGGCGCTGAAGACAGTCTGACTTGACTAGAATAGGTCAAGGCTACAAAAGGGAGGCACAGGAACTAGAGCTGAAAAGGTAGGTTACTGACAGAGTCAGAAGCACTGGCTAAGCTGAGAAATCCGTGCTTTGTTCTCTAGGAAGCGAGTAGCCACATAAGATTCATGAGGAAGGGAGACGAGATGGTAACTCGGTGTCCTGCTTTGAGCCTATGAATCGGGAGGTTCTGTGGGAACAAGCAAGGACCTGGCACACAGAGTGATGCTCAGTAAAGGGTACTTTCCTCCAAGAGAGAGGATGAGTGATGAAGCCATGGCAACGTGAGAAGAGCTGAAATCAAGCAAAGATGTCAGGGTCAGAATACTTCCTCCTCTGAGACAAACAGGAAGGAAGGAGAGAGATGAAGATGCAAAGAAAAGTTAAACGAAAAAATATGAATGCTCAGGGAAGTTATATCAAGTGGGCAATATTCTGCACAAATCAGGTGACTGCCTGCTAAACATCAGGAATTCTACGAAGGGGCTGGGGTACAGGACGTGAGAGAGGAATGGAAGCGCCACACTTCATCCCTAGTCGGGGCTTGTGTTTGTTTTCTAACCTGCTGACTGGCACCAACACCCAAAAATGACCTCAGGCATGGCACCCAACATAAAAAGTAGTAAACACTGAGAACAAGAAAAAGGAGGGAAAAACACAGAGCAGGAAGTGAGCAAGGCCCAAGGACATCCTTGGGAAGACCCACAGTTGGTCAGTGGGCAAGAGAAAGAACAAGGAAGAAAAGGGCCAGAGCATCGGAATGAAGGTGAAACTATTTTACAGAACTACTGGCAGACAGAGTGTTAGCAAGTCTGCTCTCTTCCATACCCACTGCCGACTTGAATGCCTTGGTAAGTATATTGAGATAGAGTAACAAGCCAGAAAACAACAAAACCCTTCAAGTCTCTGATATCGAAATTTATGATTCACATATAACATGAGTTGAAAACGTGGGCAAAACAAACCGAAATGTTGATTACAATCATCTTTGTATCCTCAATAACTCCTCCCCAAAAATAAATGACTTCATCCTACGAGTCTCCCCTATAGAAAGCTAAGAATAAGATTAACAATAAGCATCTGGTGATTTGGATTTTGTTGTTGTTGTTGTTTGTTTTCTTAATTTGTTTTTGTATCACACCTCATGAGTTTTAAGCAACGAGTTTGAATGAAAACTACAATAAATATCCATTTTCATGTCTTCCTTCCTCTTGTGACAGAGTTAAGATTCTTATCAAATTATATATAGACTCTCAGACAATTGAAAAACTAAATGTGAGGGCTGGCCAAATACATTCCCCAAGACCTCCTCTCTGGACTACTTGTTCCCACAGTCCCCCGGGGCCCGAGCCAAGGCAGGCTGTGCAGCCCACTCACCTGCATGAGTTCATGGCTTTCCAGAAGCTCATTCTCTAGCATCTCCTGGGTAAGGCGCCCCATGGTGCTGTAGAATTCATCTGCTGTTTCACAACATTCTATCTGCCTAGAAGCAGAAAGGACAGAACAAGGAATTACGTAGGACACCCATGCTGTCTACCAGGGAAGTGCTCCAGGTACAACAGGAGATGTTGCCTCTTGCCATAAAATCAATCACATTAGCAAGCAACAAAAATCAAAATCCTGGGACACACTCACAATACAGCCTGCTGTGTACAGAGAAAAGATAAAAAATGCCAAGGGCAACTCAGAGGTACTTATTACCGGATGAGTTCCCATCTTTCCTACATGGCTCCCCAGCCTCACAGCCCTGCCGGTGGCACCTTTACTGCTTCCATGTGACACATTTCACACATCAGAATACCAACACTGATGAGGACTCAGAACCGTGAAATGAGGTTTGAAGAACAATTATCCCCAGTAGGACGTCTGTTGCTGTTAATCCACAAACTGTGCTGTCGTTGATAGGTTGATAGACGGAAACCAGACCATAGTAGAAATAAAAGGTGAAAAATACTGGAACTTTATCTGCACCTTTCATCAGTCTGCAGGATGTCTTCACAGGCAACATTTTTCAGTTCTTCTCAGGGCACCCTGCTAGCTGAGATTACACCCTGTTTCTTGCATTTGGTTTCACAGTAAATAAAGACTGTCACCTGGCAACTTGTGAGGCAGGGCAGACTTGAACCCTTCTCTGGGGAAAGAGGTAGTCTGAAACAAACAGGGCTGTGGATCTGTTATCTACTAAGATGTCCTCTAAATGTCATATAGAGTAGGATGACTGTCTGCCCACCAACCACAAGAGATACACAATGACATATGCTAAAATTGGGAAATTTTCATAGAGCTGTCCCCCAAAAATATGATGGTGGAAAAACTTCAGGCTCTGGAGTGCTGTTCAACCCTCATTGCCCCAATCAGGTAAATAAATAAATGAGATAAACAGCTGAAGTGCTATTATAAAAATACAGAATGGCATGTGGGCATCAATAAAAAGTGGTTAAGTTTACCCTGGGGGATGAAGAAGAGAAATGATGCTGAAAATGAGTTTTGAAAAATATTCTCCAGGTTGACAAGGAAGAGAAAGCATTCCCAAGGCGTGGACACAGGAGACAGCAGCAGGCCCTCCCCAGACCTGCAGCAGCTCCAGGTGATGGGGGTGGAGCCGGTGGGAACTGAGGGTGGGAGCTGCAGAGAGAGGACCTCGAAGGCCTCACCTGCCAGCTGAGCCCCTTCAGGCCAACTATCGCTGGAAGGCTCTTAATTGGGAGTATGGGGACAGATGTGCCCTTGGCAAGGTCAGCATGGAGGTGGCCTGGCGAGCGTGGGTGTGGGAAGATACACCAAGGCAGGCCAGACATGAGGTCACGAGGGAGCAAGCCAAAGCAGCAGGGTCAGAGGGGAAAGGACACGTAAAAGAGATGCCACTGAAGGTGAGCTGATGGTCTATAGCTAACGTATTCCAAAAACACCCTTGGTGTGAGTGACAGGAAGACATTCCAAGTTGCAGAACGAGGGGAAAGGGGAGGTCCCATGGATAACCATATACAAGGCACATGTGTTACTCGGGTATACATAATGGGAGATTACCTAGCTGCTGTTTATGATTTTTCTTATTTATTTGCAATTTTTATTAACTTATTTTTGTTACAGATGTTTCTCCTTTTCCCCACCTTGACACCTTCCTCTGGATCCTGCCCTGTTTATGATTTCTCCAAGGGAACATTTGTGAGGAAGATCACAGGCACTGGAGTCAGAAAGAGCCAGGATTAAGTCCCACTTACTTCACAGGACTGTGGGCAGGATGGACGAGATAATGTGTTTAAAATGCCTAACATAATGACAGCACTTGATGATGTACGTTTGTTGCCCTTCCTTTTGCTTAACAAGTTGCACGCTCAAAACATGTACAATCATAATGAACAAAGACTCTGAAACAGTTAAAATTCTACCAGTCTGCTTCATATATCCTCTGAACTGCATAAATTGTAGCCATATATTATCAGTCTATCCACATTGTTAAAATAGCAGATTCCAGAGCTAAGACATCTGGGTTCGAAATCAGGCCCTCACATTTCTGCTTGGGTGACTTTGGGCAATTAACGTCTCTGTACCTCAATCCCCACATCTGTAAAACGGGAATAATAACAAAGTCTAACTCATAGGATGGTGGTGAGTACCAAATGAGTTAATTTACATGTAAAGTGCTTAGAGCACCGGTTCTCAGCCTGTGGGTCGCAACCTGTTTGGGGGTCGAACGACCCTTTCACAGGGGTCGCCTAAGACCATCGGAAAACACATATTTCCAGTGGCAATTCATAACAAGAGCAAAATTACAGTTATGAAGTAGCATCAAAAACAATGTTATGGCTGGGGGTCACCACAACGTGAGGGACTGTGTAAAGGGCCGCGGCACGAGGAAGGTGGAGAACCACCGGCTTGGAGCGATGCCTGCCCACTGCAAGCCCTCAGTGAGTAGGATTTAAAAGTGTAGTTATTATTATTTCAACAATGTGACATCTCTGGAATGACCATATGAATAAATTCTGATCCTACAGATAATAAATAGATGGGAATAAAACCAGAATCACCTCTTTTCCTCCTGCCACATAATGAAGAACCCATGCAAGGTGACTGACGGAGTCGGCACACAGCCAAGGGCTTTACTATCCTAACCCTATGAACCACTGACTCAGGAAATGGACTATCACACCCAGACAGGCTATCCGAGCCCAAGGAATTCACAAGATGTAGAGTAGGTTGGAAATACATGACTGCTGAAAGAGGCAGATAATGGGAGAAAATGAAAACAGTAAGTAAATAGCACACCAAACCCCCACCAATGACTGTTTTTCCCTATTGAAAAGCAACATACAATAAAACAAAGGCTCAGGAGCTATGTGATGTTTGAAGATATTTACACACAATCTTGATTTTTTTTTTTAACAGCCCTGAATTGATAGTTGGTACATCTTTCTTACAAAAAAATAAAAAATGCTGCAAGTCTCCTAGGAAACAACTTACACAAAAAGAAGCTACCTAAAAGGTTTTTTTAAACAAAACACTGGCAGTGATTTATTAGTTGTCTGACATTTTGTCTATTATGAGTACCCACCCTAGGAAAGAAACATTAAAAACCTCTGTATCTTAACTATAACAATTTCATCCTAATAGTTCTTCCATTACTCAAAAGGTAGAGTTGTAATATAATTGTTATAATATATTCCAGATGGGTAAAAACACCCTCGTTTTTCCCAGCCCTGCTACTAGTAAAGAAGGTAAGTAAAATCTCTTTGGTAATGTGTTTTGTAGTTATAGATTCCCACATAGTGTTAATTCCTGATGGAAGGAAAGAAGTCCCATAGGTTCCATTGACTATGTACCAAGCACCATGCTTATAAATATTACCTTACAAACATCTCACATATATTATCTCATTTCATCTTATCACAGCCCTGAAAGGCTGAACAAAACATATAATAAAAATTTAAACAGCATCCAAACTGTGTATCAACCAGCAAATCCACCTACTACTCCTTTCTAGACCTCACGGTTCCTGTTGCGTCTAGCCTCCCTCTTCCCAACCAGTGTCCAGGCAGATGCTGACAGAGGAACCCAGCCTGACAAGCACTGAGGAGGAGGAGGAGGACTGCAGGCCCGAAACAGCCTGCCCCCTTCTCTACAGCAGGTCCCACCGGCCGGAGCAATCGACACCGTGCCGGCTGAGCTCCCAGAGGCTCTCTCTTCCTCACACTCGAATGTCCACGCTTGGCATGTCAGAGCACAGCACTGCTCAAGGCCCCCAACACCACAGAACAAAACAGAAGGGGAAGTCACTTACTCTCCCAATTTTGCCCAGATAGCCAGCGACACCCTTAGGATGATTTCCGAACCTTCAAAAAAGACGGAATCCCAAATCTTTAACACGGTGTGGTTAGGGAGGCAGGTCGCGAAGAGTGTCAGAAACCACTGCATGGTGAAGACGTTCGTGAGCGGGGGCTCGTATCCCCCTGGAATGAAACAAACACTGCGTTTCTTCGGAACCACAGTTTGCAAGATATAAAAGCATCCTCTTTCAGTCTCCCGCGTCCACCCGAATATGTTCCCTTTCCCGACCGATTTGTTTGTATCACTAAATTCTGGTTCTTTCCTCCTCTTACCTTCCTTTTCCTAGAAGAGCATAGGCGCGTTTAACAAAAATCTCAATAACATGAACTTCACAAGTTCTTATGATATTTCAAAAATATTAACCTAAAACTTAATTTGGTCCTACCTATTATGGGATGTTCAAAATTAAGGAGAATGATTTCCTCACCAAATATGGGCTAAAAAGAAAAGGATTTTAGTTTCTTGAAAGCAAATGCCAATTTTCAAAATATCCTAAAACCCACTTTTATTCAAATGCTGCCCATAAAAATAAAATTGCTCATTAGGAATTACTTGTCTAGTTCTTAAATTATATATAGTTCTCAGACCACAATGGAATTAAACTAGAAATCAATTACAGAAAGACAGCTGGGAAAAAAACCAAATATCTAGAGATTAAACAACATGGAATTTTAAAATATGTTGAACTAAATTATAGTTTTAAACATCTGGGATCTAGAGCACTTTAAAGTTTCTAAATTCAACTGACAAATCTCAGGGCGGGGGATGGATGAAATAAACCAAAAAACGTATATGCATGTATGCACAACCAATAGACATAGACAACAATGGGGGGGGAGGGACGGGGAGGAGGATGTGTTGGGGGGGAAAAGGAGAAACATCTGCAACAAAAATAAATTAATAAAAGTAGAAAAAAAATAAAGTTTCTGAATTCAGTAAAAATCACAAAGCTCCTTCTCATTTCCTGTGATGGCCATAAGTATGTATTTTAATGAAATAAAATTTAGATATTTGGACGGATCCTCCCTCCAAATTACAGTCAGAAAGTGCATGTACTCAAACATAAGCAAAAAGAGATCTGTTCTCCTGCACGTGTTTTCCTCCTTCTTACTATGAACAAAGGGAGCATCTTTTTCTGAGACTAGGATCTGAGATCACCCTCCTAGGCAAATGCGGAGTCTCTAGGGGGAAACCATGGACCCCAGGAAAGCGTGTCTGACTATCTGGAAGCCTTATGGAATCCACACAGGAGCATAAGGACAATGCACGGCCAAATTAAATGAGAGGATTATTCAAATGATTTAGAAGGAAGTGCTTAGAGACACCCAGGTGTCACAAAAATGTCCAGTGTATTTTGATCACAGATTAGGTCCTCTCAATCATTTAATATTTTCCTAGATTTAAATGTGTGGTCAGGAACTGGCAACCACTTACAGGACACACCGCACTTTGCACTCTTCTCTCCGGTCCGAGCACAGCCAGGGGAGCATGAGCGGTGGCACGACCGCAGCACTAGCTGCGCGGCTCGGAAAGCGGGCGGTGCCTGCTAGACAGAGGTGACTCTCAGAGCTGTCGGAGAGCTGTCCCCGTCACCACCTTACTCAACACAGAGCCTCCTTTCAGGGTTCAGATTCCACCTGGAGGTCCAGAGAGCCTTCTCCAGTAAGAACTGGCCCATTCATCGCAAGTAAGTCTATATGCCCTTAGCATGAACCAGTAAAAGGAACATTAAACATTTCAATTCAAATGATCTCCTACAACTTTATGAAAATACAATACTCCATTCTCCCATAACCTCAATGCTTCAGGAAACAAAAACAAAGTTTGTGCTCAATTGTACCTGTAACTCAGTTTTAAAAAATGCCTGTAGGTTTGGTGTCCGCTTAGAAAAGTTTAACTAGATGGCGAGACATGTACACCCTTCTTCATCTAAAAGACAATATATTCTTTTAGTGGTTGATATGGTACTGGCGAAGTATGAGGTTCTTGACCAACTTCCTAACTATGAGCATCCAAAGGTTCAGCACGTGGCCCTCTGTTGTTGCAGGTTTTTGTTTTGTTTTGTTTTTTGTTTCTGTGCTCTAACAATCCATTTTATTGCATCAAACTCTCACCAACAGAAAAACCTGAAAAGACGTATTTCCATTCAAGGTTTAGGCTCATAGGTACAGTGGGATCAGAGAAGCACAATACTTTCGAAGGTATAATAACACTGGATCATCACTACCTCCACTCTCCTTGTTTGCAGTTCTCTGAAGAGTATCCAGGTGCTGAGATAATTCAGGGAGCTTCAGTCTCAAGAGGTCTCTGAAGACAGCCATATCCACAGACAATGCCCGGAGATTATTGACAAAATAGCTTTCAGGAAGTACCTTATCAATAAGGTAAATCATAATCTGAAGAGAAATATAAAAAACATACTCAAATGGATAAAATGTAGTTCGCCAAAGCACAGTATCATTTAAATGCATCAGTGCCAAGTGTTCTGGATTGGCAAAGCTCATCTCCACCCTGGGTCAAGAGTGAGTAGTGTAATTATCTAAGTAATTCATAATTATCTAAGTAACTTATATAAAGCAGCTCGGACCCACCGTCTGCGGCTGTCTACAGTTTCTGCATGGGCTGCTAGACCTGAGCCCACCCGGAAGTAACTGTGACTATACAACCCTCAGCCTCACTCGGAAGTAAGTGACGCAGCACACGCTTCAGCAGCAGCCACAGGAATCTCAACACTGGCTCCTCGGTGTCAGCAGCTGTACAATCTTACCGTGAAAACCGAGACTGGCCCATCGCAAAACACCTCCACTGAAGCTAGTCTCAAGATCCACTTACCATCAACCTGAGTTATTTAGAACAACTGATGATGTTGGCTTTTTGTCCACTTTCCTTTCCTGGGAGAATGCAACAAGGTTTTGTTTGGATAAATGGTACTTTTAAAATCTGGATTTCTTCCAAGATTGTCTCATAAGTTCTTCAAATTACTATTTTCACTCTATTTTGTGTGTATGTGTTACCTTTTCTAACATGTCAAGAACCACTAGAATGGCCCAGCAAAACAGGTATGAGTCCTACATGTGAATCCCTGATCCACTTCCTGTCAGTGTGCATGCCCTGCGGAGTCCCTTCCTCTGGAAGACTGCTCATTCACCGGAGCACAAGAAAACCAAAACTAAGAACAAAGTCGTCATAGTGGCCCTATAGGTTGGTGGAAAGTAGCTCTCACATTTTGGTTTTCATCATATTGCAAAACCCAATTTCCCCCCAAAAGTATCTCCCCAGACCAAAGGCTCATTTTCCCCTCATCCCTGGCCTGTAATTTTTACTGTTAGGGTCACAGTTTGGACTAAGTCAATAAGGTGGAGAAGGCCCAAGAAGGCCCCCTTGAGGCCTTTATCGCAGGAGTGGGAAGGCCCAGGGAGCTGTTTTAGCCTTCTCACGTAGGGATCGAGTTTGCCAGGTAAATGTATCATCACTCTGGGGACAGGTGCTCAGCAGTAAAAAGAATATGTTCAGTCTGTGTGGAGGGAGGAGGTGCTGAGCGCCAGGACCAGTGGAGGCGGGAGAACAGACTTCCAGCAGAGTAGATGCCCTGGCAGAGACTGTGTGTGGTAAGGACAGGAGGGATGAATAGGCTCATGAAGGCAAAATTTAAAGGCAACAGTCTAGTATGGCACTTTTCATCTAGGATAGTTATATAAGACCAAAAATAGTATTTAAGTTTTTATGAAGAAATTATGACCCCCCTCAAAATTTCACAAAAACAAGAAAAAAAAATACCAATGATCACAGTAATTCTTGAGACACCATGAAATTCTGTATCCAAAGGCAGCTCAAAGCCTGACGTAAGACCTAAGAGCCAGCTGTGTGGTATGTCAGCCATGTCGTTCCACCCACTACTGGTTTTCAAAGAACAAACATTACATCTTTTAGAAAGAATATATAATGGCAATGGAGCAGAGACAGTCTCTTCAACAAATGGTGCTGGAACAAGACATCCCAACACATACACACAAAATAAACTGAATCTAGACACAAGCCTTACACCCTTCACAAAAACAAACTCAAAAGAGATTATAGACCTAAATGTAAAATGCAGCACTATACAATTCCTAGCAGACAGCATGACCTAGATGACTTTGGGTATAGGAATGACTTTTTAGCTACAACACCAAAGGCACAATCCATGCAGGAATACTAATAAGTTAGACTACATTAAAATTAAAATCTTCTGCTCTGTGAGAGACAATGTGAAGTGAATTAGAAGACAAGCCATAGTCTGGGACAAAATACTTCCAAAAGACACATCTGATAAAGGACTGTGATCCAAAATATACAAAGAACTCCTAAAACTCAACAATAAAAAAAGTAAATTTAAAAAAATAATAAAATAGCCCTGGCCGGTTTGGCTCAGCGGTTAGAGCGTCGGCCTGCGGTCCTGAGAGACCCGGGTTCGGTTCCCGCTAAGGGCACGTACCTCGGCTGCAGTTTGTCCCCGGCCCTGGTCGGTTGTGCGGGTGGCAGCCACTCGATGTGTTCCTTTCACATCGATGTTTCTCTTTCTCTCTCTGTTCCTCTCTCTCCCTCCCACTCTACCTGAACAAAAAATGGAAAATGTCCTCGGGTGATGTAAAAAAAATAAATAAATAATAATAATAATAATAAAATAAAACAATCCCATTAAAAATGGACCAAAGACCTTACTGGACACCTCACCAAAGAAGATAGACAGCAAATATGCATATGAAAAGATGCTGCACCTCACAGTCACCAGGGAAATTCAAATTAAAACAACAATGAGGCCCGGCAGGTGTGGCTCAGTGGATTGAGCATGTCCCAGGGACTGAGAGATCCGGGTTTGATTCCTGACCAGGGCACATGCCAGAGTTTCAGGCTTGAATTCCAGTAGGGGGCGTGCAGGAGGCAGCCGATCAATTTATCTCTCTCACATTGATGTTTCTCTCTCTCTCCCCCTTCCTTGCTCTCTAAAAAACCAATAAAGCCCTGGCCGGTTTGGCTCAGCGGTTAGAGCGTCAACCTGCGGTCCTGAGAGACCCGGGTTCGGTTCCCGCTAAGGGCGCGTACCTCGGTTGCAGTTTGTCCCCGGCCCTGGTCGGTCGTGCGGGTGGCAGCCACTCGATGTGTTTCTTTCACATCGATGTTTCTCTCTCTCTGTTCCTCTCTCTCCCTCCCACTCTACCTGAACAAAAAAAATGGGAAAATGTCCTCGAGTGAGGATAAAAAAAAAAAAAACAAACAAAACATAAAAAACAATGAGGAGCCCTGGCAGGGCAGCTCAGTTCATGCACTGTCCTGATACACCAAGGTGTCAGGTTCAATCCCCAGTCAGGGTTCATATAAGAATTAACCAATGGCCCTGGCCGGTTTGGCTCAGCGGTTGGAGCGTCGGCCTGCGGTCCAGAGAGACCCAGGTTCGGTTCCCGCTAAGGGCACGTACCTCGGTTGCAGTTTGTCCCCGGTCCTGGTTTGTCGTGCGGGTGGCAGCCACTCGATGTGTCCCTTCACATCGATGTTTCTCTCTCTCTCTCTTCCTCTCTCTCCCTCCTGCTCTATCTGAACAACAAAAAAAATGGAAAAATGTCCTCGGGTGAGGATAAAAAAAAAAGAATTAACCAATGAATGCATCAATAAGTGGAACAACAAATCAATGTCTCTCTCTCTCTCTCTCTCTCTCTCTCTCTCTCTCTCTCTCCCCCTCCCTCCCTCCCCACTTCTTCTCTCTCTAAAATAAATTAATTAATTAATTAAAAACACACACAACAACAACGAGATGACACTATACATCTATTAGAATGGCCAAAATCTGGAATGCTAACACCACCAAGTGCTGACAAAGATGTGAGCAATGGGAACTCTCAGATACTGCTGGTGGGAATGCAAAATGGCACAGCCACTCTGGAGAACAGTTTGGCGGTTTCCTACAAAATTAAATATATTCTTACCATACAATCCAGCAATGTCACTCCTTGGTATTTACCCAAAGGAGCTGAAAAGTTATATCCACAAAAAAAAAAATCTACATGCAGATGTTTACAGCAGCTTTATTCATAATGGCCAAAACCTGGAAGCAGCCAAGATGTCCTTCAGTAGGTCCAGACAATGGAACATTATTTAGTGCTAAAATGATTTAAGTTATCAAGCCATGAAAAGATATGGAGGGACTTAAGTACATAAGTGAAAGAAGCCAATCTGAAAAGCCTACATACTATACAAATCCAACTATAACATTCTAGAATAGGTGAAATTATGGAGGTAGGAAAAAGACCAGTGGTTGGGGGGCAGGGTAGAGAGATAAAAACATGGAGCCCAGAGGACGTTTAGCACAGCGAAAATACTCTGTATGACATTATAATGATGAATACATGTCCTTTACATTTGTCCCAATCCACAGAATGTACGAGTCCAAGAGTGAGCCCTAATGTAAACTATGGACTTCAGATGATTATTGATGTGTTGATGTAGGTTCAACGATATTAACGAATGTGTCACTCTAATGAGTGATGTGGATAAAGGGGAGGTTGTACATGTGGAGGGTGGGGCAGGGGATATATGGACAATCTCTCGACCTTCCTCCCAATTTTGCTGTGAACATAAAACTGCTCTAAAAAACGTGAAGCATTTAGAAAACAAATAAATATTAGGGGAACTTCAACTTTTTAACAAATAGTTAACAAAACAGTTGCTAAAAAACACAGTTCTTAAGTGAAAAAAGCAAGGAAAATGGTTTACCTACATTTAATAAACTACACATTTCTCCAATAATTACAACTGGCAGAGGTCAAAACAGCTGTTGGGAAACACCGACACCCAATACTTTCCTCTGTATCAGAGTGTTTCTTCATAAGCCCAATCTTCCTCTGCATTTTAAATGCCTAACCAGATTCCTAAATGATGCTAATGTCATTCCATTCCACAAAGTTCATTTTCTTAGAGGCAGAAATATAAATATTCAGTTTCTCCGTTTTGTCTAATCCATCTTTTTATGTGACTCTTTACTTTCCCAAGTACAATCACTGAGTCCTTCCATGATTTGACTGGCATTATATCCCTTTTCCCCCAACCTTTCTACATCACCCCCTAACCTGAATTGTTTATTCCAGCTTTGCAACAGAACAGTTCCCATTTAATAATCATATACATTATATCTGAGGAAAAAATGACTAAAGCTGACAGACTGAGTAAACAACATTGCTTCTTAATGAAAGTGTTTTAAAGCCACGTATCTGACTTGTCACTGCCTCCTCCTTCCACTCCTGCCTCTTCTATGAACAAGTAGCTTCAAAGCCGTTTCCTGAAATACATGAATGGAAAAAGCGAGAGGGTGACTGCAGACTGCGATCACGTCAGGATGGATTTATCATTAATGTCACCATGACGTGTATAACACCAGGAGGAACATTTGCTTATTTTTCCATATCACATTCGTCAGTGACCGAGAATATCACTAAGGTATTCACCACAGTCAAACAAAGCATGGGAGTGAGGGAGGTGCTCTTGAATACAAAGACTAAATATCCATCTCATCTGTCACATAGCACTGCAATCAACAGCATTCTGAGGATTCGGCGACGAATGAGCAACCCCATATTGGGTCATCCTCCACCTGTGAACTGCTTCCTCCCTCCTGAACACTATTTCTGGTGACTCACTGAATCACAGTCAGATTTTTGTGCTTACGTTGCTAGTGTCCCATCTCAAAGTGTTTCCAGATTTTTTTTAACCTAATAAAGGCCCTAGGCATCAAAGATTAAAAGATAGTAAATATAATTCACTTCTATAACCTTTCTCCAAGCAAACAGCTTCCATCATAGACATTCACTGTCAACCTACCTCCTCCATACCTCACCCCAGATATGAAAGAATAAAGCAACCTAACAAGATCCAACGAGAATTAAGCATAACTGGTGGAGTAGGCAGTTTCCAACATGACCCCAGGGACCCCTACCTCTTAATAGTCACACTTGGTATACTCCCTTCCCCTGGAGTATGAGCTAGACATAGTGACGGGCGCCTAATGAATTGATTATGGCAAAAATGATGAAATCTGACTTCTGATATTAGGCTACAAATCTGTAACTTAATCTCCTCTGCACTGCTCACTCTCCTGTTCACTGAAGAATACCAACTACAACATTGTAAGATGGAGAGCCCCACATGAAAGGAACTCAAAAAGGCCTCTGACCAATAAATAGCCAGCAAGGAACTGAAGTCCTCAGTCCAAGACCTGTGAGGAATTAAATCTTGCCAACAACCACATAAGTGAACTTGGAAGTGAATGCTCCCACCCTGTCGAGCCTTCCGATGACACCACAGCCCCTGCCAACCGTTTTAATGCTACAGTCCTGTGACTCTGAGCCAGCTAAGCTGTGCCCAGATTCCTGACTCATAGAAACTGTGAAGTAATACACATTTGCCAGCTTAAGCAGCTTATTTGTTATGCAATGATAAATAATATAATTGATATTTAACTTGCTTCAAAAATAGGATGTCTTATAAGTAGAACTAAAAACATAGTCATTCACAGCTGGTAGTTACAAGAGTCTGTCCCACAACCTGGATTTAACCTGGGGAAACAGTATCTGGGTAATTACCAAGGTGTGACCAACACCATGGAAGGAAGTGGGCATCAGGGAAGAGAAATTATAGCTCCAGTACATCCCTCTCTGAAGAACGTCAGCTCCCTTTTTCAGAGCCTGAGACGCACCTTCAGCGCATCCCCTTCATGGCCTTCCACCACCTCCAGAATCAGCGCGGCCAGGATGTTGAAGCCTTGGCAGTACCCGACCTTCTTGTTCCATCGGGCATAGGCCAGCAGGACCCGCTTCAGCACAACCCTGTCCTGCTCAGCCTCCTGACCACAGTAGGAACTACAGCCTGTGCGGTGAAGATCCTAAAATAATGGGAAACAGTATTTTTCAAAATGACTGCTTATAATCTTTCTCCAAACAAACAAACCTGCAGTTATTTCTTTACCTTGGCATTAAGTAGATTATCAACAAGGATTGCAGTTTTTAAAAATGTATATGCAATTTATACACATGGGTCAAAACAATTTTTTTCCTAATGTTTTCTAATATGCTAAGACATTTTCAAGAGGAATTACAGTCAGGCAAATTTTCTACTTAAAGTGTTTCCAGAATTAACACAAACAGGGACTCAGAATTAACAAAATTCCATATAAATTAATAGTTTATTTTAATAATATGTCTCAGATATAACAAGTCATTTAAACACATGTATGATAGATGCCAATATTACTTCTTTCTACAAAAAAAGATGTAATGTTTATTTAGCTATCAAAACTCCACATAATATTAAGGAGCAAAATCAAAATAGCAAAAATTACAACCTATATTGTAGAGAGACAGAAAAAAACATTCTTTTAAAAAACAGAAAAATTATTCTATCCAAATTGTTTCATAAATTTGTGTTAAACAGACAAAAATTTAATACCTAATCAGGGCAATATCTATGTTATTACCAAATAGAGACTATGACTTTCTGGTGCTGAAGTCATTTTACTGACATAGTGTTCACTTCAATGATCAAAGATCCTCTTAATACCATGAGAGTTATAAAATGTGCACTGCCTTAATTTACAATTTCAACAGAAAGAAAATATTTCAAATATGCAATATTTCATCTCTGAGAAATGCATTCTGAAATCCCAAATAAACAACTGAAATGTGAAAATGCAAAGGCTTTTCAAGCATAATTTTTTTTAGCATTTGTCTGAAACAGACCAAATTAGATCAGAAAGTAGCTCCTTTTAGTTAGTACTTCCTCTTGAAAAAAAAAAACTCCAAATCTGCGAAACATTAGCCATCTTTGCTATCCAAAATTTAGATGAAACAACTTTCCTTTTAAAACTTCGGCTTATCATCACACTGTGATGTACTCATATAAAATCAAGAACTGGCCCTGGCCGGTTTGGCTCAGCGGTTAGAGCGTTGGCCTGCGGTCTGGAGAGACCCGGGTTCGGTTCCCGCTAAGGGCACGTACTTTGGTTGCAGTTTGTCCTCGGCCCTGGTTGGTCGTGCGGGTGGCAGCCACTCGATGTGTCCCTTCACGTCGATATTTCTCACTCTCTCTCCCTCACTCTCTCTCCCTCCCACTCTATCTGTACAAAAAATGGAAAAATATCCTCGGGTGAGGATAAAAAAAAATTAAAAAAAATAAATAAAATCAAGAACCGTATGCTAGAGGCCTACATAAGAGAATAATAGAGATTAAATTGAATCAGCATCCTTGGCTTTTGGCACGAGGCTCTAATCAACTATAATAATCCAGGGTAGGCAAACCACAGTTGCCTCCACACCTGGCTTGAACCGTTGACCATCTGAGTTAAAGTAGACCCTCCAGTCAATCTAGTTATATTCATAAATTGACAGGAAATTATCAAAGACCCTAATCAGAGCCCAATTATTCCAATATAAAATATCCTGAACTTGAAATTTCTCAATGACTTTTATGTAAAAATCTAGTTAACAGCACTGAGCAATGTTTAAAAAAAATTTTTTTTTATTTCCTATCATGTGAGCAAATAAATTGAATATGAATGGAAACATTTCTACTCAACATACAAATTTTTGAAGACAAGGTATAGTCAAAGTTCTTCACTAAAAATCTATTAATTAGCCCTGGCAAGTTTGGCTCAGCGGTTAGAGCATCAGCCCTCAGACCAAAGAGTCGCAGGTTCGAGTCCAGTCAAGGGCATGTACCTCGGTTGTGATGTAGGAGGCAACCAGTCAATGTGTCTCCCCCTCTCTCTCCCTCCCACTCTATCTGAAGATAAATGGAAAAATATCCTTGGATGAGGATTAAAAAAACAAAATCTATTAACTAATGAGGAAGCAGAAAATATTCAGACCTTAAGACTTGAGGCTCTATCCAGGAAATAGCTGGCACTTAGAACCTTCCTTCTAAGTTAGGACAATAGTCCAAGGTCAGGGGCATTACCTTGACTATCTGAATTCCCATTGAGTCATCATCAGGATTACTCCTTTCGTTGAAAGTGAAGCGCATGGTTTTGTCCCAGTCAATGGCTATACTGTGCAAATAACGATCTGCCAGCGTCAACCAAACCTAAAATATTAATAAAGAAGAATGCTACAGTAATATACGTAATTTCACCTGTATTAGGAATAGTTATTGCATCCAACAAGAAAATGGGAACTGTTCCTAGACCAGATACAGCGCACACGTAGAAATGCCAAGGAGCCTCACTGAAATGCTAACTGTACTCAATCACACCAATTAGGACCTTTCCTGTATTCTTTCAATTAATGTTTGTTGAGTTCCCACTATGTACCAAGCAATGATCCTTACATTAGGGATACAGTTAAGAAAAAATAACTTTTCAAATTTTATTTCAGTTCATTGGATTTAGTATATTAAGTTATGGGTTGTTATACTTGGCTCTGAATTGCTCTCTATGCTTGGGCAATAGCCAGCTGGTCATTCAGAGAGAATGGGCCTATTCTCGCCATGAAGTGTTCTCTGCTTTCAAATCATCAGTGTCTCTCTCTCTCTCCCCCCCTCTCTCTCATACACATACACAAGCACAGATACACACACACACACACACACACACACACACACTAAACTGACAGATGAGCTCCCATAATGAATAACTTTTAAAAAGAGTCAATTGATATATTTATACCTTATCCTAAAAAGTTGTTTCTGCAAGATGTATTTCATCATGCCATTTTTAATGTATATTTTGAGAAACCGCCAATGTTCAAATTCTAGGATTATTAAATTATATTTATAAATTGACATAATTAAAAGAGCTTTTCAAGTTTTGGTATTGGAACATAAAGTTAACAGGAATGTCATTGATTAATATAGTCTTCTCTCCTAAGCATCAGAATCATATGTCCAAATGCCCACTTGACACCTTCAACTTAGATATCTAATAGGTATCTCAACCTCAACATATCCAAAGCCACAACCACCTCAACTACACATAAATACATACAAACACACACATTTGTTCCTCCCATCCGAGTAAATAGTAACTCTCCCCTTCCAGTAGCTCTGGTCAAAATCGGAAGTCATTGTTGGCATCCCTATTACCTCATACTCAATCCAACAGGAATTCATGTCAACTCAGCCTTAAAAGTATATCTAGAATCTTACCCCTTCTCTTCATCTCCACTACCACAACCCTGATCCAACTCTTGCCTAAATTATTGTAAGCCTTCTATTGGTCTCACACTTCCGTCCTTGTCCCTCATATTCTCAAGTTAGTAGTCAGAGTGCTCCATTTAAAATATTAAGTTGTATCATGTAATTCCTCTGCTCAAAACTACTCCATGCTACCCACCTCACATTGGGCAAAGTCCTACTATGACTACAGGGTCCTACATGATCTGCCATCCTCCTAACCCCACCACATTACCTCCATGACCCTCTCTCCTATTGCTTCCCCCTTTTCACTGTGCTTCAGACACCCTGTCCTCTTGCTTTTGCTTGTGTACTCCTGAGATGCTCGTCCCCCAGAGTAGCTGCATGGCCCACTGCTCACCTCCTGCAAGGCCCTTTTCAAACATCACCTTGCTATTTAAAATTCCACCTCCTGCCCTGGCCAGTTTGGGCTCAGCGGTTAGAGTGTCAGCCCTCAGACCAGAGGGTCAAGGGTTCAATTCCTGGTCAAGAGCACCGTACCTCAGTTGCAGGTTCAATCCTCGGCCCTGGTCAGGGTTGTGCGGGAGGCAACCAATCAATGTGTCTCTCTCACATCAGTGTTTCTCTCTCTTTCTCCCTCACTCCCTCCTACTCTGTCTGAAAAACTCAATGGAAAAATATCCTCGGGTGAGGATTAAAATAAATACATTTCAAAAACTCCACCTCCTTATCCCCATTTACCCACACTTCCATTTATTTCTCTGCTTTATTTTTATCCAGGGTACTCATCACCATCTGACATACTTTATATTTTATTCATTATAAGCTCCATAAGGATAAACATTATGGTCTGGGTTTTTTTCCACTGCTGCATCCCCAGTTCCTAGGACAGTACCTAGGACAGTACCTGGCACGGAATAAATCAATAAATACTTACTGAACGAATGAATAATGGAAGGGGACGTGTTTTAAATTACTGAATCTAGAAAACAATATTTTACATTCCACAGACTTTAAAGAGGGACAGAGTGATGGCCCTTTTGTATTTTAGCCCTACAAATAAACCCTCCTTACCTTTCTCCTCCATTCCTTTGGTATTCCTGTTGACAGTCGGGCAACTGCCTTGAGAGCATCATACCACTAGGAACAAAGAAGAAATACTGGCAAAGTGGTAATGTTGACCTGGATAAGCACTTTTCAATCTTCTTCCACCTTGACATCTGTAGGGTGTAAAATATGTACAGCACCCTGGGCTAACAGTCAAAGATTCTTTCAGCCATATAGGACTGGTGTGAGGACTATGATTGCTCCAAGTCCCACCTTGGGCACCCTTAACACACCTGCGACCCATTTATAGCCCACACGCAATAACTTGGAAGCAATGGTTCAGAAACATGTATTAGGGATTCAGAATAATAGATATTTGGTTTTGTAAATATTTTTCACAATTGCGCCATTAATAGAAAGTACAAAAATGTTCATAGCAAGCATAATAAACCCAAACCATTTGTAGCTTCATGAATTATTTTATCTATATTTTAAAAAGTGACTTGTCTTCTTATGCTTATCAGAGTTTTCCCACTTTGAGGATATATCTCAGTATATACCCTGTAGATACCCCAAAAGAAGAGCACTGTATTATCAAAACTAAAAATAAAGTTACCTGCTGAAAACCATTTTGACCTAAAGACGGCTCAAGAGTGAACTTCAACTTTGTGTCAACTCCTAAAAGAAGAACATATAACTATTACTTTGGGAAAAAATAAGTTATATAAAAAACAAAAGTAAAAATTAACCTGATTCTACTAAGTTATCATGAAAATTTTAAAACATTTAGTTTTACTAATTTTTAGTCAGTTTTGTTAAAGAAAAAATATTGGTTTTTATAAGAGAAAAATATTCTATGGCAATAGAATGGAGCCTTTCACATAAGATGATTATTTCCACAGCTGTCTGTAGTAGTGCCAACCCCCCCAAAAAATTGACATTGCATAGAGACCTCCATTCAACTTTGGTTCTTAGAGTCGAGCAAATTATTTAACCTGTCTCAATCTCAATTCTTTAGCTTTAAAATTAGGATAACAGTATCTATCTCAGTAGATAGTTGTGATGATTAACTGTAAATCACCTAACATGGTATAATTAATATTTGTGAAACTTAGGAAGAGAATTCTCTACTTACAGAATTTGTTTTCTAGGACACTGGAGTGGATTGAGTCCATTAGGGAATTTTCAGTGGAATATCATAAGTTATAAAAATAATGTCATTGCCTTCCCACTTATGGAATCCTTAATAATCCTATTTGGAGATTTTCATAAGTTTTTAAATTCTGTCTTGATAGACTTAGATATCGGATATAAAAGTTTGTACATATAATTACTGATTACAAGCTAAAAATATAACTGAACTCTAACACTAAATTATCTACAACTTTAAATAAACTTCTTTGTTTCAAATCCCAAATCTATGGAAGAGAAGTAAATAAATAGGAGAATATATAAAGACTACATGCTTAATATTTATATTGGGCTTTTATTCAGAATTCCCTATTAGAAGCATATATGCTGTTGTTATTGAGGTAAAATTAAATGACAATTTTTATTGCTACTTAAATTGTATTTTAAAATAATAAAATCAAATCTAAAAATGTTATATATTCTTTTTCTACAATTTCAAAATCAATGAAATTATATTTTAAGTCACTTTTAATTTATTTTGTTTGTAATTTATTTATTTTTGTTAAAGATGTTTCTCCTTTTCCCCCCACTGATTCCTCCTCCCCCCTCCCTCGCCGCCCTGTCCCCAGCTTTGTTGTCCATGTCCATTGTTCATGCATACATGCATATAAGTTCTGTGGTTTATCTCCACCCCCCCCCCCTCGTCTGGGGACTGTCAGTCTGTACGCCACTTCCACGTCTCTGGGACTACCCCATTCCTCAGATTGTTATGTTCATTATATTCCACAAATAAGTGAGATCTATGATACATGTCTTTCTCTGTTTGGTTTGTTTCGCTTAGGATAATACTTTCCAGGTCCCTCCATGTCATCTCAAAAGATAAGAGATCTTTCTTTCTTACAGCTGCATGGTACTCCATTGTGGATATATACCACAGCTTTTTTATCCATTCGTCTACTGATGGACATTTGGGCTGTTTCCAGATCTTAGCTATAATAAATAGTGCTGCTACAAACATGGGGGCACATATATTCTTTCTGATTGGTGTTTCAGGCTTCTTAGGGTATATTCCTAGAAGTGGGATCACTGGGTCAAATGGCAGTTCAATTTTTTAAGTCACTTTTTAAAAGACATTACGTAAAAATTCAAGTATCAAGATACACCAAAAATTGGCAATAGCGTTACATTTTACAATGTATAATTATCATTTATGATGCAATTTTTGCTTCTAAGATGTTGATTACAGATTAGAAATACTGAAAACCGGGGGACTTCCTGTCAAGATGGCAGCGTAGGTAAACGCGGTATAACATCCTCCCACACTACATCAAAATCACAACTAAACTACAGAACAACCATCATTCAAATCCGCCTGAAATCAAATTGAATGGAAGTCCTACAACTCCGGAATTAAAGCAGCAACTGCATCTAGTCTGGTAGGAGGGGTGGAGGCGGAAGGGCTAGTCCCACACCCACGAATGGTGGATAAAAATTAGGAGGACACCTCAGCTGGCAAGGTCCTCCCTGAGGACTGAGGGGTCCCCGTCCCACACCAGGCACCCCGTTCAGGGTTCCAATGCCAGGAAGAGAATCCCCCTAACTTCTGGCTGGAAAAACCAGCGGGAACTGAGGCTCAGGGAGGCTGAGGCAGCTGGAGCCCCAGAAAGCTCCTCTTAAAGGGCCCGCGCACAAACTTACTCAGACTTGCTCCCTCTAAGCTTGGAGGGGAGACAGGTCGAGGTGCGCCAGAGACATATGGGAAAGAACTGAGCTATTTGGCATTAAACCGAGGGCTGGAGAGAGGGCTTTCTCCGGGACAGATGTGCTGTCAGGGGCCTTTGTTCCTTTGGTGGGCCCTTCCCTGGGGCGGTAGATAGCCACCATATCTGGGACTCCAGCAACCTGGCTCACACTGGTTGCCCCGCCCTAGTGATTCCCTGAGGCCCCGCCCCACCCAACTTTCAGGCCCACCCAAGCTGTTGCCAGTTGCTTAACCATAGGATTGGCCTATCTTGCATCCTGCTTCAGGTTTTCCTAGATTCTTTCAAACAAGCAGCATCTGGTCTCAGATAGCCCCATACCGCTTGTTAAGTAATACATAGAAACAAACACAGGGAAGCAGCCAAAATGAGGAGACAAAGAAACAGGTCCCAAATGAAAGAACAGAACAAAATCCAGGAAAGAACTAAGTGAAATGGAGATAAGCAACCTAACAGATGCTGAGTTCAAAATACTGCTTATAACAATGCTCAATGAACTTAGTCAGAATCTCAGCCAACTTAGTGAGGGCCTCAAGAGCATAAAAAAGGACCAGTCAGAAATGAAGGATGCACAGTCAGAAATGAAGGAGGCACTAACTGAAATAAAGAATAATTTACACAGATTCAATAGTAGAGTAGGTAAAGCCAAGAAGCAAACCATCGATTTGGAATACAAGGAAGCAAAAAACACCCAATCAGAACAGCAAAAAGAAAAAAGAATCCAAAAAACTGAGGTTAGTGTAAGGAGCCTGTGGGACAACTTCAAGCGTGCCAAAATTCACATCTTGGGGGTGCCAGAAGGAGGAGAGAGAGAACAAAAAATCGAAAACCTATTTGAAACAATAATGTCAGAAAACTTCCCTTACTTGGTGAAGGAAACAGACATACACCTCCAGAAAGCACAGAGAGTCCCAAACAAGATGAACCCCAAGAGGCCCACACCAAGACACATCATCATCAAAATGCAAAAGGTTCAAGACAAAGAGAGAATCTTAAAAGCAGCAAGAGAAAAGCAGTTAGTTACCTACAAACAAGTTTCCATTAGACTGTCAGCTGATTTCTCAAAAGAAACTTTGCAGGCCAGAAGGGAGTAGCAAGAAAAATTCAGAGTGATGAAAAGCAAGAATCTACAACCAAGATTATTCTATCCTGCAAAGCTGTTATTTAGAATCGATGGCCATATAAAGAGTTTCCCAGACAAGGAAAAGCTAAAGGAGTTCATCACCACCAAACCATTATTATATGAAATGTTCAAGGGTCTTCTTGAAGAAAAAGATAAAAAATATGACCAAACAAAATGGCAATGAATACATAGCTATCAACAATTCGCCCTGGCCGGTTTGGCTCAGCGGTTAGAGCGTCGGCCTGCGGTCTGGAGAGACCCGGGTTCAGTTCCCGCTAAGGGCACGTACCTTGGTTGCAGTTTGTCCCCAGCCCTGGTTGGGTCATGTGGGTGGCAACCACTCGATGTGTCGCTTTCACGTCGATGTTTCTCTCTCTCTCTCCCACTCACTCTATCTGAACAAAATATCGAAAAATGTCCTCGGGTGAGGATAAAAAAAACAAAAAAACAATTGAAGCTACAAGCAAAATGAACAAGCAGAACAGAAACATTCCCATAGATATAGAGAACATTTTGTTGGTTGCTAGATGGGAGGGGGGATGGGGAATGGGTGAAAAAGGTGAAGGGATTAAGAAGTACAAATGGGTTGCTAGACTGACAAACCTTAAAGGGAAGGGGGCTTGGGGGTGGGAAGAAATAAACCAAAGTACTTATATGCATAACCAGTGGACACAGACAACAATGTGGGAAAAGGCGGGAGTGGGGCGGGAATGGGGAGGAGGCGGTCAGTGGGGGGGAAATGAGGAACATCTGTAATACATTCAACAATAAAGATTTTAAAAAAGAAGAATACTGAAAACCTCTCCACAACTACTTAGGGCTGATATGTGGATAGGAACAATCTTTGGAATTTGCAAAATTATAATAACACAGACTTGTCTTTAAAAAGTAGTGTGTGTGTGTGTGTGTGTGTGTGTGTGTATAATGGAGTCAAGAAAAGAAGCTGGAAAGAGATATGTCTGATTTGCCCAAGCCCAAGAGAGTATGCAGATGCTCTTCTTGGAGTTCTGGAAGACTACTGTGAATACATGAGTAGGGTCCTAAATTTCTAAAGTCAAGCTGTAGTAGAGAATCCCAAGATACTTCTTTTCAAAGCTTCAGGTTCAAAACCATAGTCAACCTAGATAGATAACATTTTCTTCCCAAATATAAATTAAGTACCCCCACGGATTTTCATCTCTAAATCAGTTTAAATGAAGCCCGTCCCTCAGTGCCCAACAATGGTACAATGGTCACAAGAGTGCCTCCAGCTGGAGCGCAGGATTTGAGGCACGAATAAACAGACCTGGTTCTGAGGTTGCTGTCCAGACACAGGGTGCTGAATGGAGGAGCGTCTAGTCGTGACGTTTGCTTTATTATAACAAAGACCAGGAAATTCGGTCCCCACACTGAATTATTTCTACCGACCTAAAAGCCCTGTATCTATTATCCAATTTGCTCCCTTGACTTTTTCAGAGCACTTACCGAATGTCCAGCCCATTGCCTTGCTGCACTGAAACCCAGCTGGGTTAATTAGTTAAAACCACAACAATTTTCTCCTGATCAAAAATGAGTCACAGGATTAAACAAGAATTGATCATTCGCTGCCTGTAGGCAAAAGCGGAAATCAGGTCATTTTCACCTCTTCTTCTAACTCAATAAGGGAGGGGAGAAGGTTTATGTTT